TCAAGTATTTTATTGCAGAATTTATTATAGAAGGAGCAGCAGGAGTAATCCTGACTGTGATTCACAGTATCTCAATATTTATAACCTAGGCTGTATTTGTGTTAACAGTGAGCTCTCAAATAATCTGAACATCGCACCTCTCCTCCTAGAGAAAACAGTCTCGTTCCTGCTCTCAGCAACTCCATTGAGAACAGGGATGATAACTCTCTAAAAGGTAGATTTTTTTCAAGAGTCTGAACGATTTAGTATTTTGGGATCCCACTGATCTTCTATGCCTAAAAGCTGGTGCAGTTCTATCCTCTCTATATTTGGGCAGATAGAACCAGGGCAAAACCCTGCCTGGGGTCTAAGCTTCTTTTAACTTCCAGTGGTTTAGGACTTCACTGTCACAAGTAAGCACACTGTCATAGTACAGAATTTTAATGCAGTCTTCTGATTGGTCTTTTAGTTCATTCATTCCAGTCAGAAACTGTCTAAGATGCAATACGGTTTTGTTTTTTATTTCCTTTTTTTTTTTTTTTTTTTTGGTAAAGAAACAAGCTTTGTGCTTTACATCTGTCTGGTTTTGCTCTGGTGACTTTTCAAACTATTTTGAAACACATTTCACAGAGAGACAGAGGTCTCAAAGACAGTGAGCTCCTGCAAACTGACAGTCCTCTAAGTAGTTGTCAACACTCGAGGGTTCAGTGGATGCATCCCTGTCAGCAGTCTTTATGTATGTTCCAGTTGAGGCTGTAGCATGATTATGCTCTTTATTAGATACCATCTACTACACACAGGAGAGAAACATGATCAGTGTTTGCACTTGGCAAAATTTTAACTTCAGTCCTGAACAACCTGCATGCCAAAGCATCCATGCAGAAGAAAAAGAATTAGACTCTGAACTAGACTTTTATCAGTTCTGCTGTTCACATAACAAGATGTTTTGCATTCCAGATGCTATGGTCTCATGCTTGGGTCAATCTCATTATTTTTTATAAAGAAATTGCTGAAGGTAACTTTGGGTGAAATGAGAGGTCATGTAAATTATGTTCATATATTTATACATATATATTCTAGTGTGAGTTACAGCTGGCTTTTCATCTCTATAGATGGTAAGTTGTAGCAGTGCCAGAAAAGAAATAAAGGGAATTCACAAAAGTGGAACAGACTCTGAAGCTTGGGAAGGAATGTCATTAATGAAATGCACACACTATAAAGGCAGCATTATATAAAACATAAAATAGTCTACATTACGAACTTATTAGCTTTGAATAAACTCAGACCTTTGCTACAGAGCTACATGCCCAGATGTAGCATTAGATAGATGCAGCCTGGGGGAGAAGATTTCTTCTTTGCTAAATAATCATATTCTACATAGGGTTTTATATCTCACCTCCTGGATTTTTTTCCCCTAAATTGTAGTTTTCTTTATCATTTGATATTATCAATATTAAGTGGATATGTTTTTAAGCTTTAGCTTACTCTTATAATGAAAAACGAAACTGTAGTTAAACTTTTGTGGCATTTTTATGTGACCCGCAGGGTCTGTCTTGTTAGGGGTTTTATCTAAATCACCAGGCTTTAAAATATTTATTCTGTATGATTTCAGCTATACCTGTGAATGACTGACATGTCTTAAGTGAAAGATCTCTTGTCCCCAGTGGTTGTTAAAGTCAGAGCTGTCTTTTCTGAATTATTTTATTTCACAAGCTTTTAATCAAACCCCAAGGACATGTCAAGCTCTCACATACTCTTGTCTTTCAAGTATATGCTTAAACAAACCATGCCGTGGAGGAGATGCTGTCATTTCTTCTGTTGTTCCATTCCAAGCACATATTCATCATGATAGGGTAAACTTAAAATAAATTTAATATCATAGTGAAGTGTGGTTTGGTGAGGTGTGGCCCTCTTTCAAATGCTGAAAAGCATTGTGATTATAAAACAGCAGCTTGAGCAGCACAGCAAAGTGCTGGCAGTAAATCAAGCAATGCCATTACTCTCTAAATAAATATTTAGTTTGTTAGTCTGGTGGAGTTTGTGCTCTCTCTTGAAGTTATCTTTATGACATTTCTGTGAATGTGAATTAATTTGAAGACCACTGTGAGATTTGTTTTACTGTATACTTCACCACTTTATTGAATTTTCTATGCCTGAAAGCATCAATTAGTATATTTATAGCCAAGCTTTTCAACAGTTTTGATTTTTTTCAATTATTGTTCTCCTGGATCCCAACCAGAAAGTGTTCATGTACTTCTTATACAGCACAAAATCTGAATGCCCCAAGGGTTCTCATATTTCTAGAGGGGACCTAACAGCTACTCTGTCCTGCTTTTACTGCTCAGGATAAGATAAGCCTGGCAGGCTATGCTACAAAACTGTAATGATGGCTACTGTGGTGCTTGTTATTTCTGTATTTTATAGCTCCATAGGCAAATGAATACATTTTTTAAATTAGGCAGGGACTTAGCATCTGGGTCTCATTTAGACCATGCTCTAAAACTGCCTTCTGTGAAACTTTAGTAATGTCTTAGAATGGCTGTGTACTGAATGAGTGACTTAAAGGTTTCTTTGTGCTGAAAGGAGCAGTGCTGCTTGGAGAGCCTGCAGTTTCCAAGATATTTTTGAAATGGTCGCACAGAAGCCCAGTATTTGTGTTTAAAATTATTTATTGATGGAAGAGTAAGTGAAAGAGTGATATTTGGACCAAGAGTTGTTTTTAGGAAGAAATAGCCTGTTTTCCCCTCAAGCTCATTTCTGAATTTCAGGAGAAAAAAACAAACCCACTCATAAACCTCAAAACATTTCTAAGGGTCAAGTGCCAGTGTCGAGCATCAGTGGCTTCCCATCCCTAGTACGTTGGAAATCCACAAGTATGTCATTACCTGTATGTCAGGACTTTTGCTTTGAAGCTGACAGTGTAGACTGACTCTGCTTTGGTTTCAGCTCTATGTAAGTTGAAATTAATTGGCAGTACTCATGACAGCCTTCATCTACACCTATTTCATCTGCCTTTGTACCTAATGAAGCAGTAACATCTGTCTTTTTCTCCACTAGGCTGAGGCATTGAAAAAGATCCTGATAACATAGACGAGATAGAAATACTGGGGAGCCTGATGCAGACACACTAATGACTATGGCCAGATTTGTCAGAAGGCAAAGGTTAACCATGCCTTATCAGCCATGTTTGGTCTGCACTGGCTCTAGCACAGCCTCTTCTGTGCCTCAGTGCTGCAGTCTCATGGCTTCTCATTTCTGGGAGGTCACAGTGGGCACATGGCACATGGGTATCTTGTTCTTGCAGATTTTGTTGGCACAGTCTTTATGCCGTGCAGAGAAACTGCCTCCGCTTTCCATCTTGAGCAGCTCTGCAAGTAGACTGTAAGGTGCCCATTGTGCCTTGAGCTGATCAGGTGTTGAAAGGAAACTATAGACTAGGTAATCTGACTATGGACTACAGCTTTGTTATTGCTTGCAGCTACATGGATTAGGTCATGAGTGGAATTCAGAAACCAAAATGTTAATTAAGGGAAAGATTTTCTCCAACACTGGCTAGGCTCGAGACTTGAATTTAGATTTTCCATTTTTATCTTCTCCTCATTTGACGAGAAATTCCCTCTTCAGCCTAAGAAATGCTTCTGATGGAATGTTCAGAGAAAAAAATCAGCAAATTAGTTTTATAGAAAAGTAAGTTTAATAAAAATATTGTCTCCCATTCTAGTAATAAACATCAGTCTAGTCTTTAAAACCCCCACAGCATCCTGCATCCCGCAATTAACAAACACTAAAAAATAAATACGCTATCCATCCAAACCACCATTATGAAAGGAGCTTCTGTAAATATACGGTCATACAGCAGTTCCAAATGCCACCTTATACATGGGCTTTAGATATATTTGCTGCATTAAATAACAGCAATGTATATAATTGAACACACTTATTGATAACTTGTTGCCTACTACAAAATAGCTATTGAATTCCAGTGGATTAGTGTGACTGAGGTCATGGTACATAAATTTGATTGTAACCCCAAATTAAATTTACATATGCTTGCTGTATAGTAATAACGAAGTAAGAAAATGAAACACCTCTCCAGTATAGCTATGAGAACTTAAGACAATTTCAACTCTGTTGATCAGTTTAGTTACTTGTGGAAGTTACTGCTTATCCACTGAAATAACTGTATTAGTGCCATTTACTGTCTATGAGAATCTGGGCCTATAATCTTTTAAAATGCAAAGTGAATGTATCATAAAGAAAAATAAAGCTATTCTGTGATGTGTATGGGACTTTTTTGTACTGTATGTCTGAGTAAAAATTACTAACGCAAGAATGTCTTGTTTTCAGAAATAAGCAATTTACTCATATGCTGAGTTGCTTTATTTTGTTGGTTATTTTGTTGCTGCTTGCCCAATACTACAACATATAACCTCTGACTCTCTAAAAAAATTGCTTTTATAGTTTTCTTTTATGGAAGTATTTATGTTTAGAGCCTTTGCAATCTCAGGAGAAATGAAATTTCTTCCACTACCTTTTGTCTTGAAGCTTGAATTGTTTAGCATTATGTCTTAGTTGCGTTTGAGTCATATTGCTATGTAATGGCTGCACTCTGTCACACATTCATGGGGCAAAGAGCATATTGTAGCAGCATAAAAAAAAACCACTGCTATGAATGTAATACTGCAGTGGGAAGATTTTTAGGTTTTGTAAAAAAAAAAAAAAAAGGCATTTTTTGGACCTAAGGCTTAATCAGGTAAATTCTGATGTACTACTAGTAATCAGTGAAGTATGTCTCTAGATGAGAACTACTCACATCAGCATTTCTTATCATCTACGCATACCTCACTGAAATCTTGTGCTAATTATTTTATTTTTAACATGATTTGACTAACGGATTGCATACCTATTGAAATCAAACACGAAGAACATTGTAAAAGCTGCCTAAAAGAGAATACGTAAACTCACTCCATCTGCTAGTAAAAGTAAATTATTAATGGTTTTATTTCTTATTTTTTCCACAGGATTTGAGGTTCCAATTAAAACTGTGTTTGGGCCATTGCTTTGCCTGCCAGTACTTAATCTTTCCTGAAAGCCTCATCACTTATCTAAAACAGAAGAACGAGGTAAGGAGAGAAAGTAATGAAATGCAGCATAACGCATCTGTCAAAGGAACAGAAAATAGCTTTAAAAACAATCTAGGATCAATGACATTAAAAAATTATTTGTTGTGCACTAAATGTGTTCGCGTTAGGCATCCTAATTCTAAGCGATCTGTTGCTACCAGTGTGTTCTTGCATGCACTGGGGTTTGGTTGTTTGTGTTTAAGAGATTTACTGTTGATGTAGCCACAGGATACAAATGACTGATAGGAATAGGAGCTCTGGGATTGCTAAATGCACCTCTCTCTGCTCTAGGGTCCTTTGGAAGATTGTTTGACATCTTGGTGCTGAACTTATGAATATAATTAACATTTCTGGAGTTATTTAAAATTCAGTTTTGGGTCAGTCTAGATTGATGTTCTCCAAATATGCACAATGAAATATTGGGTACTGTATTAAAAGACTGAACCTGTTTCTGCACTCAGAATTATGCTATCCTTTGTTGTTGATAATACATCTTTCTAAAATACTTGGAGCTGACTTTTGCTATGTCACTTAGGATTTGTAATAATATACAACAAAGCAGGCATAACTAGAGGTGACAGAGAAGAGTATACAGTGATTTAGCCTTTATGGGATAAGGATGTAAGGTAGACATGGCCTGAAAAATATGAGACTTTTTTTAATAGGAAGAGTATAGCCTGCAGTGGCCACTTCTGTAGTCACTGCTGACATTCACCAAGAGAGAATATTGGGAACTCAGTTCTTAGTTTTCCCATTCACTCATTTTTTTCTGCATTTTCAGATCTCTGCCAAGGGTTGGGTTCAAACTAATATTAGCTGGTGCAGACCAGGGTCAGTGTGTCCTTTTACTCAAGCCCCTATATGAAAACCAGCAGGCTAGAAAGCTTGTTGGTTTCTTGCCTTCTCAACATAAACCAACATATATTGGTTTTGGAATTGTTAAGCATGCATGCCTTCTGGAATCTCTCTTAGCAATGCTATTTATAATTTTTGCATTTCTAGCTGTATGCAGGGTAATATTGAGTAACTGAGGAAAAAATGTTGAATGTGACATTAACAGACCATGGATAGCCATTGGCCATGTAGAAAATAGCTGGTGGTAGTTATCAGCAATAAGTAAAACTGGGTTTAGTAGGTGTGGTTTTAAAGCACGTGTGTTGTCAAGGGAGTGTTGTACCTCCAAATCCAGAATTGATAATATGTGTAACTGACTGGTATGAGCATTCCAAAATTGCTATCAGAAACTACTCTTACATATGTAAAGTGTTGGATATGCTATGTAACTCCTTGAGGCTTGCCAGATAACTTCATGATTTCTGAATCATGTCTTACAGTGACTGTGTCTTACAGCACAGTTGTCATCTTATATTGCCCATGTAGGGCATCATTTCTTCTGAAAGTTGGGGACATGCGCAGGAAAACGTTTTGACTGACATTCGATCTTTCAGTATTTGACCAAGTAATCCATTTGTTGAACAGCTACAGTCCAGATCTCATTGTATTGGTCTCAGAGACTGGAAAAGATGATGAAACAAAATTCATTTGTATAATGTAATTAAAATTACTTCTTAGTTTCGCTGAAGGAATCAAGATGAGGTGCTTGGAGTTAGGTTTGTCCTAACAGGGTCCATCTTCAAAGAAATTTAATTAAATTAGCTACTCTTAACAGGATTTGAAAAAAGCACACTTGATTTGTCTGTAGCTCTTCAGCTTTCAGTGCCTGATAATTACATTTCCAGATATTCTTTCAATAGATAGGTATCTCAAATGTAATGCATTAAAAATTCCCTGATACCTTCTTGTTTAAAAAATTAACCTTTTCACCTTCAAAACCTTTAAGTTATTAATGTGAGGTACATTAACAACTTAAACCATATAATCCTAGAAATTGTTAGCTTCTTATAAGCATTATTATTTTGTGGTGAATGTGGATGACATTAAAAAAAATCTCACACTGATTTGGTGACTAAAACAAGTACTCTGTTAACTATGAATGCAGTTTAGTCGGTACTGATACTGAAAACAGTCAAAGTTTTGTCGTGGTTTCTAAGAAAAACAAGGCTTATATGATTATAATAATGTATATGGATGAGTGAGATGTCTTTGTGTCTGTATCCCCCAATATTTTTTAACCTGTTTACTGATATCAGGGATTCTTTTAGCCTAGCGACTGACATTAACAGGAAGATAGAGTTTTTAAAAGAAAATTATGTTCCCAACATTCTGGGAAAAAGGATTTTTATAATGCCCTAAGGGAAGGTGAATTTGCAAGCTTCTCTAAGAGACTGTACAACAGAAAGAGACACAATTAATGTGCCAAATTGGAGAGATGTTTCAGTCAGGACCTGCACCTTTTAAACATGGAAGGACCCACAAAGAAAATACATAAGTGCAGGGAACTGACCTAGGGTCCTGCTTAGGAAATCAGACTGCCTCCTCCTTGTGCATTCTGAATGTCTCCCTCTTCATCACAGCACATATATCCTGTTTCTTTGTAAGATGCTGATATGTGATCTCAAAACCAGGGGCTCAGTCTTGCAGCAGTATGGACATTTAGTTTCAGGTTATAGCTCTTGTGTTAAAAAACCCTCCAAAACATTATTGTACTCGTGGTTGGCAGGCATTGTGCTTTGTAGTTTATCACATCTGCAGTTTCAACTGTAAACACAGGAAAACATCTGTTTTACTTACGGGACAGCTTATTGTTGTTATTGAGCAGTAAAGAAACCTTATGCTTTGGAGGAAAGAATTTGATTTACCTGTGTTATTAAGTGTTCTAGGTATGTGATTAGACATTACTCTCATAAGCCACGTCATATGTTGCTATTTTATAAATCCATGTTAGCTTGTACAGTCAGGGAAAGCTTCTGCAGTAAAGTCCTTAAGCAGATGCAATATGTGTCAACACATGGCTCCTAGCCATTGACAAGTGTTGGTAGTATTACAGGCCTTCAAGATGAAATGTGGTTTCCTGGATAATTTGTATAATGCATCTTTGGGGTATTCATATTTTCAAGATGTATTTGGATTTACAAGCCATGAAAGATAAAGTATGCTTTGCAGTTTCTATTTTAGACATAGTACCATTTAAAATGCCAGAGGCTTCTCTTCCATACAGTGGATGGTTTGCTCTGAGGATCTTACATATTCATTTCTATTGGTTCTCATATCACAGAGTCTATATTAATATTGCCATAGTGAAATAGGAGTCTGACTGCTGGGAATGGCCACGCAATCAATGAAAAATACTTTGCAACAATATTGTCCTTTTCACTTTAGTTAAAGGTTGTGAAAGCAATTTACAAACATTAATAACGCATTATGGTAAGCTGCTAAAGCTCGATCTCTGTGAGCATTCAGTCCTAGATACTCTTGAACTGACAGGAAAATGGGTAATAGCTATGCTATGACAGCGGAAACAACTACTGCTTTGCTAGGCTCTGTTTTTTGTGGAATCCCTGGGGCATCCATAAAGTTTCATTTCAAGAAATTATTAGAGGCTGCAGCTTCCCAGCTCTGGAGTTTACTTCTGGAGGCTAGCTGTGGTTCTTCACTCTGGGCTCTGGTCCACCTTGAGCTTTTTATTAACTTAATCTAAATTTTGAAAGAATCTGAAGAATCACATCCAGGTTTGATGGGGCTTGGAGCAACCCGGTCTAGTGGAAGCTATCCCTCCCTATGGCAGGGGGTTTGGAATTAGGTGATCTTCAGGTCCTTTCCAACCTGAAACATTCTGTGATTCTATGTTTCTAATCAAAAGGAAACAAAGACATTAACTGAGGAGGAAAAAAGGGTTCATTGAGTCTCTTGAGAATGAAATCAGCTTTCTAGTAGCAGCCTTTACCTTGACTAGGTATAGAAACTGTTAGGTAAAATTATCATGGTCAACATTCAATCAGTTTTACACTGTTGAAACTGGAACTGTGAATTACAAATAAGGAAGAATAGCCAGGTACTGAAAGGTCAAACAGCAAAGCCTGAGCTGCGTTGCAGGTTTTTTCTTTTCCTTTTTCCCCTCCCCCCCTGAAGTGTTTGTTTACATCTACAGTGTTTTCTGTATATAAATATAAACCTTCTATTCTCCATGAAGAACTCTTAGGCAAGATGGCTTAACGTAAGGTTGGAACTACCCGTTGTCAGAAAGTGCCTGGCAAATTATTATGCTTGTGTCTTGTCAGCTTGTCTCACTGGAATCTCATTCCAACTTTTACAGGATAAAAATACATTAGAAATATATTTTGTAGTGATTCCAAAATAGGCTTACAGAGTCAGTATAAGTTACAGAGATAGCAAGGTAGACAATACTTTGCAATACCTAGTATTGTACAGTAGTCTACTTTATTCATTTGTGCAACAAAAAAAACTCATTGTGCAACAGAAACTCCTTTTGATATCAATAGAAATCCATGATGCAAAGGTGACATTGTTCACGTTGTCGGGTACTGTAAATCACATGCATATGTATCATTTGAATTGTGTTCTCACACACTCTGTTTCTACTTATAACATTAAACCACTGCTTTTAAATATAGAATGAAAGCATTTCTTAGAGATAAGTTGAACTATCAAGTGGTGAAATATCATTGCTCTTTTAATTATACACATAAAATAAAAAATACAAGTTGCCGTAGAATTCCAGCAATGCAATTTCTCAGTAATTCACCATGGAGACAGTTTCTTGCAATATTCCAGAGTTCTGTCCTTTAAGATAAATGTATTTTTATGCAATTCAATTTATTTCACAATCTTTAAAATCTCATTTTACAAATCACTGATATATTAGCTTAATCATCGGTCTGACTTTAGTCTAGTGAATGCACATATATGGTAGAGATGTTTCTTACTTTTTCCAGCATCTTCTATAAACCAGCAAATCAGTAACCAGAAAGATAAAATGAATCATTCAAAATATGCTGACTAAAGACCAGAGGTACTTACAGTATTAATGTATTTTGTGTTTGTGCCTATAGGCCATAATTTTACAGATAAAATATATTTTGGTGTACATAAAGCTGATCACCATATATTATATCTATTATGATAGTAATATGTG